TCCCTACAAAATCCTGTATAATCGTAACATTTGTAGAACAAAAATATGGTCCAATACTGAAATCAGAATACAGGGGTCCCAGTTAAGTGTGATTCTAATGGAAAGTGCTTCTCTTATGACTGTTTTAAAGAAACCTATACTGGCATAATGTCTATGTTTTACTGACAAAAAAAAAAAAGTGTGTAAATAAAATAAAAGGCAAGAAAAGAGTACAATCACTTGGTCAGCTATGAATTCTTAATTTGTACCCTTATGATTTACTACTGGTTGCTCATCTGTTGGGAAATGAAAATGAAATTATCTCTCAGGTGAGCTCAATGCTTCTATTTGTGTCAATGTAATTCTTTCACTGGAAGTCTTTGTACAACAAGAAACAGGTGTGTAAAGTCCATGCTGTTCCATGCTGCAACTGATTTTATTTTGCCCTTCATTTATATCTGTTTTCCACTTTAGATATTTTCCTTCAAAAGTAGCTTAGTGGTCTAATTAAATCAGATCAAAGGCTTTGCTTTGCTAATTGAGGCCTATAAGAATCTGCGGTGGGCATCTGGCCTCTAGCCAGGGTCAACCCACCACACCCTCTTAAAATGCAATGCATTCCTTGAAATCTTCAAGAAGATTATTCTGTAAAAGGAAAAAAAAAATGTGCTTAGTCTATACAGAACTTGATACTCATTAAGTTCATATTCTTCAGCTGCTTGAGTTGTGCATGCACTACATATTTATCACCAGGACTGTTAATCTTTTGTAGTATATCTTAAATAACAATATAGTATAACATCTTAAAATGCAATGCATTCCTTGAAATCTTCAAGAAGATTATTCTGTAAAAGGAAAAAAAAAATGTGCTTAGTCTATACAGAACTTGATACTCATTAAGTTCATATTCTTCAGCTGCTTGAGTTGTGCATGCACTACATATTTATCACCAGGACTGTTAATCTTTTGTAGTATATCTTAAATAACAATATAGTATAACATCAAACTGTGCTTCTGGATTTATTATGTTATTGTATGCACTGGTACTTAAGGGAAAAAATGGTATGACAATGGTCATCCAAAACAGAATGAATATGAAATCAGCAGATGAGAGATTAATCTAGAACCATGTAATGTACATTAATGTCAATGGTACCTAAATTTACTTGTTAACAATGTTCGATCACATTCCACTTCATTATCAACTATAAAGTTAGCCTTTCAGGGGAAATAGCTGCTCGCAAGATGATCCATTATTAGTATTATTAATATAAATATTTAATATTTAATATGATTGTTATACTTTTAAAATTATTCTTAATTAATTTTTCCTGCCATCAGTTTATTAGAGGTGTTTTTGTTGGTTTAGTTTGGGGATTTTTTTGCTTATTTGGAAAGATTATTTTTCAATCCCAAGGATTCTGGGGAAATATTACTTTGGAGAATGGTAGTCCTGCAACTAATCTATCTCTATGGCAAAGAAAACCCAGTTGAGTATTAAGATTTTAGTTAGCGTGATGTAAGTCTAGTTAAAAGGTAGCCCATTACTTCTTCCTTTGTCATAAAGTATTAATAGAGATGTTAATGAACTATGTATGTGCTCCTTTAAATAACATTTCAATTGTGTATTAATGTGTTTTAATGTACTATGTTAGTAAATGGTAGTTACAATTAAAAAAATCTATGTTCCTCCTTTTGGAATAGGCTAAGAAATGGGTGCATAAATAACAGAAAATATTAGCTGAACTGTAAAAATGGAAAAAGTTTGGAATTACTGATTTGTCTCCTTTTACTCCAGTCAGCTGTTGAATTTCTCGCCACCACTCATTGTGCAGGCAAAGTTGCACATGACTGCATTCGATATGGATTAGGGAACTGAAGTAACTGTCAATTTATGTCTGAAGGTTTCCACTGCCATGAATTTCCTTCTTTGTTGTTATTACCTTTAACAGAAGACTAGAATGCAGTTCTCTTGAATTTTATAGATTGAAAAAGTTTCATTAATAAATTGTGTATGTGTGTGTGTGAGAGAGACCTTTCAGATTTTTAACATGAGTTTTGAAAGATTTTACAAATTAAGTAGTTGTTAAAGTAAATATAGAAACCTGCTCACATGTACCATTAGTTTGCATATTTTCTGCCAATGGACACTATTATTTTCCTAATGACTAAATCATTCATGTTGCAAGTTTATAAAAATATGTCATTTTTTAAATAACAAATATTGTTTTTCTCATTTTAATCTCAGACACAGAAATGCATCCTGAATGACATAAGTCAATTGCTACATGTTTTCTCTTGTCATTTTGTTGGAAAACTACCTGAAGCAGGAATAGCTTTTATTAAAATTGTGTCACTCTAATGCATAATACCACTTGATTGAATTAACTCTTCAATTAATAGTTGCTTGATTTTATTTCAGTCTTTGAGTTATGGTGGTGGCAAAGCCTCTGTCAGTTTTCAACTTACTTTGATTTCTTTTTAGATAGGAGACTGTAAATAATTTAGAATATTAATAACAGACCCCCTAATAGTACTTCCTTCTGTAGTAATGACATGTTCTAATTGCTTATAACATAGCAATTCTTGATGATATGGGGCTTATGGGCAGAAAACAGACTCTTCAGAAGAAAAATGTTTAGCTGTATAGAGTTCCTTGTAAAGTCTTCAGGGGAATAAAATTCCTTTTTCTACAGTTTGACATTTAGATTGACGTATTGTAGCTTCATTTCTACATGCACCACTCAAGATACCCTCAAAATTTTAAGAGGTTATCTTGTAAAGTAGTGTGTCTCTTAAAGCCTATTAAAAACTGAATTTGCCAGTACTCTGAAGATGTTAATCTCTTATTAAATCAGAATCCATTATGGAAAATAGATGAGAACCTTGGATCTTTTTGAAATTTGGCAGTGCATTCAGCATATACTACCAGCAGGTAGTAACTCTGTCTCATATGGCTGCTTACATTTCTCTTTAAAAGGGTCTTGTTGTTAATTGCTTGAAACTTTGCCAAGCTGTTAACAGGTTGGGCTGGAATTTTCCACTTAAAGAAAAGAAAAGGGCAATATGGATTCCTCATCTCCTGTATACTAAATGAAGCGGAGGCCTGTGGGAAAAATAGCATGCAATCAAATAATTAAACATTCTGCCATAGAGCGTATGGCTAGGGAGAGGAGTTGAGGGAAGCTTATAGATTCATTTCTGGCTTCTTCTGTCCTTTCAACACTTAACTTAATGAGTTTGTTTTGTGCATAACAAGGCATAATGTTACTTCACTTATTTGTGAGTGCTGGCTTAATGAAAAAAAAGCATTTGACATTGATATCCCTCAATTTGATTGTGGGTTTTGGGGAGTATTCATGTTCCTTTGAAGTTTCTTCCTTGTTTGGATTTTTTTTTTTTTCAATTTGACTTGATTTTTTTTTTTTTTTTTTAAATTGTTCCTTTAGTTTGGCACTAACCAGCAATAGAATGACTTGAATGCTTCTGGGATTGAAACATCAGCTAATTCTGTGTATGTAATCAGATATCCAAGACCAGTGCATGAGTACAGAATGCTCTGTAGATCCTTAAATTAGAAATCGTGGTCTGATAGATTTACAAGCTTGCACCCCTTTTTGGAAAAACTCTGTTTACTCATAAAAATCATGTTGATTCCCCTTAGCCTTGGCTCAGTGTGATTTCTGACTCTACATCACACTGATTTTATCTGTGGGCTGTGGTTTGGTCAGTGTGCATGCACTGTACACTAACTCCTGAAACTCAAACTCTGGTGACAAAGATAGAAAAAAAAAAAAAAATCTAACTGGACCTAGTCCAATTTTCTTTCATCAAGAAAATCATCCATAGTCCCTGTAAATATTCAAAGTGAAGTGTCACTCCCATGATAAGAGTTCCTTCTGTTTTCCTGGTTTGAGCTTGTAGGTGGTACATTTTTATCTGAGTTTTGGAGGTGTGATAGTTGGCCTCAAGCTTGAACAGTGAACACTGGCCCTTTTCTCTGTCTCAGATGCGCTCACAGCTATTTATTTCCATGTGATGCAGAACTGGGGGCAGTGACTCACCTGGAGACAGCCTTAGCCATCCTCTGCTTGGGACAGATGTAGTCCTCTCGATCCTCCAGTGGTGACACTGGATAAACTGTGACTTCATAATTTTGGGAAGATACTTAGCCACTTATATGCAATGAATCCACTGGTGAGATGGTGAAATCCTAGCCCTCCTGTAGGCATTTTCAGTCTGTCATTGGCTCAGTCACGGGCACATTTACATCTAGGTTCTTGCTGTATTATGATTACATGTAAGGACATTTTGTATTCTCCCTACCACTCCATGATGTGCAACATAGATTGATGGAAAAGAAGTAGCTTTTCTATAGTAGATGTGACAAAATTTCTGTTATTTTGAGACTTTTGACTGGAACTTAGCAGCTGGAGCTGTCTCTTGAAATTCTGTTCCAACAAGACTTTCATCTCAACCATGCTCTTTCAGCACTAATAAGGCCATAACTCAATCTTCTTATTCAAGTGACTGTAAGGCTATTCTACTTTTTCATTGTAGATGTTCAAAGTACTTCACCCTTTTCAAGATCTCTGCCTGTTTAATAAACAGCCAATTACAGATGAGATAATAAATTCTGGAGACCTTGGAAAATTTTGAGCATTTTCACTTACATTTGTTTCACTCTGTAGGAGAAGCCTATATGAGAATGAGTCGTCTGCCAGAAGCAGAGCGCTGGTATGTGGAGTCATTGCGATCCAAGAGTGACCACATTCCAGCCCATCTCACCTACGGAAAACTGCTGGCTCTGACGGTGAGTTAATCAGCAGCTCCTGGGAGCTGGCCCCAGGCCCTTTGAGTAGGTGACGTGAAGGAATGGGAAGACTTTGTCCTGAAAATTGCTTATTGCCCTATTTGTCATGCTATTTCAGTCATGACTTCTAATTAAGGATTTTGACAGTGTCATTTTTTTGTGAAACACTGCATCCATTCCTGAAAGGTTCACTGTGTAACTGAACAGTATGATCATTTGAACAGTGATTCAGAACTACCAACACACAAATCAAAGTTACCAAGATAAAATCAATGTTACCATACTACAGGGTTACGCGTGATGTTGGTTGCTTACCAAAGATCTGCCACTGGTGAAAGGTTTCTCTCCCTCAAGGAGCAACGTTGAGAGGTGTCCAAGCTCAAGGGGAGATCACTGCCATGCAGCCAGACTGCTTACTGAGGGAGCTCAAAGAAGGCTCACTTCAGCTGTCATATTTACAGAATAAAGTGGTTGGCTTGTAGTCAAATTACATGCTATGGGAAAGGTATGCATGAGACTCCTTGTGCCCACAATGTTCTTTGTTCCCTGAAAAATGAGTCTTGGAAAAGCCACCTGCTATTCATGTGTTAGTCACGTGATCGGTGTTCTAAGCTCATTTGCATCAATGCTCACTGTATCAGTCTGCTCCTTTGTGGGTTTTCAGAGAACGAATTGAAACTAGAAGAGTTCTTGGCCCTTTTACAGCTTAGGCATTTACCTTCTTCAGACTCTGAACCAAACTACCACAAGTTTGGTTAAGGGGTTGAGTGCATCTGACACACTCTGTGCCCAAATAAAACATTTATAATAATATAGGAACTTCATAAGAGATAGTAAAGCCTTTGTTGTAAGTAGTTTAGATCACAGGTAATGATATGTGCTCAAATAAAACATTTATAATAATATAGGAGATATCTAGGAGATATATATATTATTTATAATAATATAGGAGATACTATCTCATAAGAGATAGTAAAGCCTTTATTGTAAGTAGTTTAGATCACAGGTAATGATATTAATACAAAAAGTTACTTGGTATTTAACCCAGGGTTGTTGTAGTAGCCTGTGGCAGAGCTAGAAGTGCCACCTATACTTTGTGAATTACACATCTCATGCTTTGAATTTACACTTCTTTAGGAGTATCTCTTTGAGCACGTGAGAAGAACTACTCAACCACTAAGAACTAGTTCTAAAAAAATGCAGGGCTTTTTAATTTCTTCAAAATTTACTTTGCCTTTTGAGTATAGATGAGCTTGTAACTCCAGCTAAAGTAGCCCCATATGATAGTTTTAGCAGCATACCAATCCCTACTTGGTTTTCATACTTTTTAAAGATGAAAATGGATTTCTATTTTATTCACTAAAATAGTTCTGTTTTAAAACTACCTTTCACTTGGTTTTGATTCCTGCTTCCCATTTTTCTGACCATATCCTCTTTCCTGTCTCCCACATTTGCTTTACTGTTCACTCCCAAGTGTTTTCGTAATTTTTTTCTATGCTCTACTGATACACCTTTGTATGGCTCTTCAGTCCTTGTGCCTCAGTCTCAATATCTTCAATTGTCAACTTTTACTTTAACCTTGTTTATGACCTGTCCAGTCTTCAAGCAAAAAATGTCCTTGGATGCAGGGTAGGGATCCAGTGAAGAAAAATAGCTTCTAACTAATTTCAGTAGTGCCATTGCTGCTAAAAGGATCTGAATTGGGAAAAGGGGAGAAATTAGAATTTTTCTATAAAAGCAGCAAGTAACAACATAAATAGGAAGAATTTAAATTTGTTCAGTGTTATCATGTAATGTCAAATAAAGAGTTTGATTAAAAACAGCCTGGATGGGAATTTTTAGCTTGTAATAGAAGTCAAGGTGCTAGTGTTTATATCCCCACTGCCTGGCAGTTCCAGAACCTGGAAAGGCAGTTTTTTGCTACAATTTCCAGTTACAGTTAATCTTGGATATTGACAAATACAAGCACTCACTGATTACCTTCCTCTGAGTAGAACTGTAGTACAGCAAAATTTCCTAATTTACCTTACTTTTCTGTCAGATATCTTCATATCTTACACCTAAGAATAATAGCAGAAAGTCAACGCTACTGATTTCTTCTTAACAGTTCTTTGACAGAAAAGTTCTAATTTATTAGAATTGCTGTAGGGAAAAAAAAAAGATTTCTCAATTAAAAAACAAATATCTTTTTTTTTTTTTTTTTTATTTTTCTTCTTTCCCCTTTCTCCTTTCCACTGCCCTATGCTGGTACTCGTCTGGTTAATTTTGTATTTTCTGAACTGCAGTGTGTATGAAATACGAGGTCTGCTAGGGAAAGTCTGGAAGTTGTTCTGGGAAACAAGGTCTCACATTTTTCTTCAAAGTAACAAAATCTACAAATCCCATAACTCTACAAAAAACCCACTAAAAGCTACTAAAAACAATTTTTATTTTTGTCCCCTCATTATGAAAGTTCAGTTATGGGATTAAACTTTAGTCACATACCACATCTTTGGGAAGGAAGTGATGAAAAATGTTTGTGAATCCTTATAGCAGAATTGAACTGTTTACTTTTCTCCAGGGATGTAAACACAAGATACATGTGAGGTGGATTGTGCCTTGAGGATCTGAACTATGTTTGTGGAAGAAAGTATCTCAATGGCAAAAAAGACAGGAGCTGTATACGACTTTGAACACTGAATGCTGCACTGTGATAAGCAATAAAAGTCTGCCTATCCTTTCTCAACACACTTGCTTACCCTACTTACTGTGTACCATAATTGTAGTCTGTTCTTATAACATTTGTTTGTTATAATTTCTTGACACATTTTTCTTTTATTACTGTTGCTTCTTCTCATATTCATGGCCATATGTACAGATAGGGGTCATGTCCATTCTATTAACAGCAGCATAAGCCGAGATGGTGCTGATGTCCAGTTGGCTTGTAGTAACGTAGGACTTCATAAACACATAACAAGGCAATGTGTTGATGACAAAGTAATTAGAGGTGGCAGAAAAAATTTAAGGTGGTTATTTCAGTCATGGAGAAAAAAAACATTTAGCTTTGATCTATTGAAATTTGACATTTATTTCATTTAATTCTTTCAGTTACAAACTCTGAAAAGACATTCAACATGATGAGGAGGAGATCTGGCAATAGAATATGATTTTTTGTCTCTGTGTTGGTCATTTATCCTCAATCAGTTTTGCAGCCTACCATCTGCTCAGTGATTCACATTAAATGGATTTTTTCTAGTTTGTAATATACGGAACTGTACTAGTATTAGTTCCAATCACAAATACATGATTGCTGTAACTGGTAGGCTTCCTGAAAATCTACACAGACTTCTTTGGGATTCAATAGCAGTAGAGCTGCTCTCTTTGCCATAGTTTCAGCCCATACCTAACTTGAGGTACCACTGTGATTTATTCTTCTACTAAACTTTGCTACCTAGGCTCATGGTCTTCTTCTCACAGCCTTATGTATTTAGGAGAGACAAAAGCCTACTTCAGTCAGTTTTCGGATGTTAGAGGAGAGATGTTTTAGAGGCTTCTTTCCCCTCATCTCATTTTGCAATCCTGTTTCTGAATGTAAGTGCTGAGACAAAACCGTTGATAACACTTCTCTGTGTTTTCTTTCCAGGAGAGAAATGTGAGATGGTTGATGGAGTGAAGGGTGGAGGAGGGGGTTAATATAGATAGAAAAAATCTTTCTGTCAGTGAAATTGGGAGATCAGGAAGGCTCAGACAAGTTCCTAAATTCCAGCCACAGGCAATTCTAGTATAAAAACCAATAGCAGTATAGTCAAACCTGTAAAGTTTACAAATTCAGCTGTGTTTTACTTCCTGACTTAAATTCCAGTGCAGTGGCTTAACTTTAACCCCAGCTTTTCTGCCTCCTCAAGTCTGTTTCCAGTATTACTGCTTATTAAAAGCAGCGTGACATGATTCATTTAATCCCTTAGTTCCAGTCTGGATACTTGAGACGTTTTTTTGTACCTTCTGTTTTCTTTCCCTTCCCATAAGGAACTGTGAAGGTGACCTATGTCCGGTGTATAAACTAGAGGTTTGCAGAATTACTTGCTCGTTACACCAGGCTATCCTTTCCAAACTTCCAGTGAAAGCTTTTCAAAATTTCATAAACAGGGACATAGAAATAAATGAGCATTCTAGAGTGTAAGCTATTCGTTTTGTTCATATTGTCTGGCCTTGCTTCTGTCAAACACAAACTAGGAACTCGGCACATTTTCTAAATCTACAATAACCTGTGCCTGTCTTTTTATTTTTTATTTTAGTAATTGTGTTCCACAGCAGACTTAAAATAAAGGCACCGTATACTAGATGAGTTTGTTAGTTTAGCAATGAAAAAATCTGCTGTGGGGGGTTTTTGGGGGTTTTTTGGTTTTTGTTTTTTAATTATTTCCAACTTGAACGATAACCTGTATGAACAATCTGATCTAAAGAAAATGTTAACTCTACTTTGAGCAAGGGATTGGACAGAGTAATATCTCAAGGTCTCTTCCAACATGAATCTTTCTATGATTGTGTACCTTTCTTTGTTTTCATGCTGAAGCTAGTTCCAGTTTACTAAAAGGCAGTGTTTTTAATAAAAGTCAAGGTAAGACATATTTAAGATTAACACCTATTATCCTTTCTTACTGAAAAGAGAATTTAGAGGATTAGGTTCTACCAGAATGGGTTACCTTTTGCAAGGTCATGAGTGGCATTTAAAACTGTCAAGAAGGCAAATCACTATTCATCTACTGTGAGAAACTTGAAGTTAGTATAACCATGCCGTAAGTGACAGATAGTAATTCATGTCATCATCTTAGGTTGATTTTAGCAGTTTCCCATTTGCACGTAGCTAGTATCACTACTGTTCCAAAGGGCAATCTAAATTTTAACCTTGCATTTTGTGAGGGATAAAATGAACAACAGTAAGCAAAAGCATAATCTATGCTATTTAATTTTACTTGTGCTCATTCATTTCATTTTTTTATATAGAATAGGCTATTTCAGTT